TTTTATTCAGGCCACATAAAATATTTCAAAATATTTCGAGGGCCGCAAGTCGAAATGAAAGGAACGAGTGTTAAAAAAACCAACTAAAACTACAATGTGTATAACATTTGAAAATATTAAAAATTTAAATTTAAATATTTATTTTAAATTAGTGTGAATTATGATATTGAGATACTAGAAACATAATCATACTTATCTTAATTGCGTAGGACACACTTTGATCGTTCTGTTATACCTATTTTATTCTTAGGTATATTAAATTTGGGCCACATATAATTATATAAACCATTCGCAGGCCGCAGGTTGAGTATAATGGCTGCTATACAGGAAAGTATCGATGGGAGGATCATCTTTTTTATTGTTATGTAATAATATGTAATTTATTATATTCTCGATTATCCCCTCCCCACGAACCCTCTCATCAATACAAGCTGTTACTAAATGACTGTGTAAATATTTTGTGGAGTGTTCTTCAGAATTGTATTGCCAGCCGGAAAGGCACTCTGAACACTATCGTGATTTTGTCGTAGACCGTAGTACTTACCTACTTATTGTTTAAAGATTTGATAGGTACTTGTACGTCACTACCATGGACTGATCGTAGGTACCTATATTAATTTTTATTTAAGTTCCAGGTCTCTATTACATCAATAATTTTATACTTCTTAGTTCTCGTCATTAACTTTCAATTTTTTTAAATGATGCCCCCAAATCAAAAATTCCATTTTTTTCACGATATCTAAACATATTTATTTGTCAACTTTAACATTCTTCCATCTACCGATGTAATTTTAACGACTAGATTAAGAGTCGTATATCTATATAGATAAAATAAATAATCTAATAATCTAATAGTTAGTTGAAAATAAGGATAGTAAAATGGTATTTTCAATCTATGTAAGATATATCACATTGCTGCAGGGATCTAAACCGTTTCATATTTTAACGGTTTCGGTTTTTGAGAACGGTTTTCTACATTTTCTGGTTTTGGTTTAGGTTTTAAGATCGGTTTTTCAAACTTTTTGGTTTTGGTTTCGGTTTCAAAACAGGTTTTTAAAAAAATTTATCGATTTCTAGAACGGTTTTTGAAAATGTTTGGTTTTGGTTTTTGGAACGGTGTTTTAGATTGTTATCATATTTTCCTACATCTAAAAACTGTTGACCCAATTTTTAGTATCTATCTATTAACTATTATTAAGGGCTGAGCCTAAATCCCTAAAAATTAAAATATATCCGATTTGTACACTTTGTGTAGAATGTACATACAATATGCCAAGTTATGTTCAGCAGAACTAATTTCGTGTTCTCAACAACGTAGGTTGTAGGTACTTACCTGCTTTTGCATACAACATATTATAGAGATCATTATTCGATTACATTACATTAATATTTAATTGTAATTTACAATAATATCGCATTATATTACAGACTACTGTATAATAAATGTCATGATATGTCATGTTAAATCTCATCTCATGTTATGCTTATGATATTTGAACAAAATATTAAATTTAAATTTAAATGGATAGTTGCTAAAAAAGGCTATTGGAGTATTAACAATTCTGTTATTTAAAAAGGTATAAATACACGTATAACACACATTTTTAATTCAAGAGACACACTATTTCAGGCAAAGAGATTGTTAGAAATTTGCATATTTCTATTTTTTAATAACATTTGTCGTTTTTATTACCAATACTCATTAGACAATAAATAATAATTAATAAATAATAACATTACAATTAATATAATATATCATTATTTAAGTACCTGTGTAGCTGTGTTGAAATAGTTAGAACACAATAGGAGATGGGAATACATTTACATAATATGGGTACCATTATATTCTGAAGTATCTTCTTTATTGGTGGCATTGTTTCTTTTGTCTAATTTTCATAAAAAAATGTGCGACTAAATAATGCAAAATTGAAACTTAAAATAATGACAAATGACAAATCGGAAACTGATTACTGATGAGATCGTGAGAATAACACAGTGATTAAAACTGAGAGATCAAGACTGCAGGACGGACGCGGATCGGCGAAATACGAAACAATAATTATTGGGACAACTAATAAGTTCTATAAATAACTAATAACATTAATATATCATAATTTACACAAATACTTCAAATAACAACAATACAGATTATAGTGATTACAAACATGTATAACCGCATTGGGGGTGGACAAAATAATAATAGTTATATTATATTTTAATTTAGAACCAATACAACAAGTATAGGAATAATATAAAATATAAATAGAACAATATTCGTATTACCAATAGATATTAATATTTCGTAATACTGATTAGTGATTACCTAAGAGCATCAGGATTTTTATTAATAAATTCGAACATTATATTATTTTCTTCGAATGAAAATACTCGTTTTAACTAGAATTATAAATAATATAATTAACTTTATGAAATTCGAAGAAACCGATATTGATTTTAAATTTTAATAGGTTTTTCAAGAACTGATCAAGAACGGTTTTTCAATTCTATGGTTTCGGTTCGGGTCTTATAAACGGTTTTTTAAAAGGCCTCGGGTTTCAGTTATGGTTTTTTAACCGGTGTTTTAAAGCTTTTGGTGTCGGTTCCGGGGTTCAATAATGAAAAATCAGCGGTTATAACCGGTTTTAACCAGTTTTTCAAAAACCGGTTTCGATCCCTGTCACTTTGTATAATAATGTCTAAAATAATATATTTACATCACATTTTAAGCAAACGGAGCTAGACATGAACAGCTAAGCATACATTTTGCTATTATGCACTTATAAGATGGAGACAATGAAGTTGTGGCGACTCCTCAATACACAAACCAAAATTAATAGAAATTTGAACTTCATTAATTTCGTGTTTTTATCAAAATGCATTAAATAATTTTCTAAAAATTGCTAGTTATATTGGGCAAAAAAAGAGTATGAATAGTGAATACAATTTAGAGAACGACCACCGTCTCATGTGACATTGTGTGATACTGCGTGAAGTAGTCTACACATTCTCTCAGATGAAGCATACGCAATAATAATATTGCAGTTAAGCGTCCCCTAATACCAATCCTAAATTAGCAAAATTGTAGTTAATACTTATAAGTTATTAGAAATAGGTGATAACTTATTGCATTCCTTGCGTTTGTATAAATAAATACCTACAAATTAATATGAATAATTAAAAAAAAAAAAAATTAATACAGTCGACAATAGGCCCAATAGATTAGGAAACCAGGAACTTCCTGGTGTCTAAGATGATCTACAGAAGTACAAACAAAAATTGGGTAATAGCTAATTTAATTTGTTTTCTTTAAAATAATTCGTTTAGGAAATATTCAATGTATTATAATAATTATATTATTAATAATGAAAAATTGTCTCACACAAATAAAAACTTAACCATCGCCTTACCTAGTATAATATGGAGTATCGAATTTAGATTGTAGAATACTATAATATGTGTATATAATAGTATAATATATGGTAGTTTGAATCTAATCGAGCCGGGCGGCTTGGCTGGTAAAGCACGATTGAGCATAAAATATTTTATGCGATGTTGCCACATTCACTTTGTCAAAATGTTATAATTTATTATTTTCACAATTTGTTATTATTATATTATTATCAATTTTAACTTCACGATAGGCAGTAACCATAAATAATGAATTTATTATTATTATCATTACTATTATTATCAAACAGAACTATGTACTATATAATGTGACCACAATTGAGACATTTATATTGACTTATAACTATAAATATTATAAATATTTTTATTATTAACTATTATGAAACAGATCTAGCTATATAGAATAATGCGACTATATTGTTGACTATGAAATCATTTTTTTGTTTTGATAAGTTATATTTTGAATTAATATAATTATTTAAATAAATATTTTTGTATAATACAGTTAAAAGTTTTAAATGGCAACGTGCCAGAGTTTTTTATGCTCAATCGTGTAGGTTTTTTTGTATTTAGATTTTCTTTGATACGCCGACAATTTTGCTCAATCGTGTCCCTAAAAATGTGTTTTATGCTCAATCGTGTATCACTCGGCTTGGCGGTAACAATATTATTTATGCACATTTGTATACCCGGGTAAGACTCAATTTTATACTGGCATCTAATCAGTTCTTCAATATTGTTTTCAAACTGTGACTATTGTGTGTGAATAATTCGTTTTTATTATGTAGCTCACTATTTTCATTGTCTTAAAACTTTTTGTTGGTGGTTGCTTAATATCAATTATTAATTATTAAATTTTTGTTCATGTGTTTCAATACACACAGTTCTAATACATAAATTATTACATTATACTTACTATAATAGGTATTGTCATATTTTATTCTTACATTTTAAAAGAAATTATGTGAAAAAAGTTTAAAAGTTATGATGAGGGGTACAATCTAACAAAATATTTAGCTAGGGATATGAAAGAAAAAAAGATTTTCGCTGAGGGAGCCGCTGTTCTAGATGTAAGACACACACTACTTATGTACAATAGTCAATAATAATACTAAATGTCTCTATCTCCACGGCAGTATTTACTCGCTAGTTGAGTAGGTATTAACATCAAATGGTACGGGTGATTAAAAACAAAGTACCTTCTAAAGAACATATCATTTTGAATTCCAAAATGTTCAAGTTTGGCGAGTTCAAAATTCATAGCAGCCACAATAAGAAAAATACGCTATTTAAGTGTTGCTGCAGGAATAATAAGCTTGAGGACATATTATCAACACAAACGCAGCACAAAAGAATGATACAGTACATCACTGCATCAAGTTCATCATTCCGAATTTGATATTTGATATTGTATTTGTAAAACTAATCAGATTTAAAAATAAAAAATTATGATTAGATATTATATTTTAATTATTAAAGTTATGAATTATATAAACATTTTTTTGTTTGTAAGAACAGACATATAAAGTATCATTTTTATAAAATATAAAATAATGAAATTAAAATTATAACATAATCATACTGTATGATTCATAATTAAAAAATTTTCAGTTTAAGTACCTGTTATAATATCTCTTATAGTTGGTATATGAAAATGAATAAACATATTTATTAGTAAATTAAATATGTATATTTATATGGTACAACGATTAACATACTTACATACTAATAAATCATTTAAGACACTATAGTTAAATCATTGCCAAAACCAAACTTATTTTCTTATGTAATAATAAGACCATATACAGTGTATTCAATAGCAAGTTTTACGTTATTTGCTAAGTCTCCCGAACTTCAATACAAATAACCGGCCGTTTTTTCTACACTATCTGTAGCGTCACTAACTGCATTTTCTATGGCGTTTACATCATTCTTTAAACCTTGGTATGCAGTTTTCGCAGTTTCTTGAACATCATCCACAGCACCATTAACAGCATTTCCTACGTCTTTCACAGCATCCTTTGACCCTTGGTACGCATTTTTGGCAGTGTCTTGAACATCGTCTACAGCACCACTAACAGCATTTCCCACGTCTTTCACAGCATCCTTTGACCCTTGATATGCATTTTTGGCAGTTTCTTGAACATCATCTACAGCATCACTAACAGCATTTCCAACAATACTTCCAACGGCTTTTCCAACAGCTTTTGTTGTATTGTATGCATCCTTTATATGATCATGTACATTACTTATTGCACCATGAGCCGATTGTTTAACATCATGCCCAATTGCATGCAAATCATCAGACAATTCACTGTCACTGGGACTGCTATAACTACTACCACCACTATATTTATGTCGGTTATTAGTTCTAGCTGTACCATTAGAAGGCTTATAGATTTTCCCAATAACCTGTCCATTAGCACCATAAACATTTTGACCAACATCTAATGCATTATTTTTAATTAAAACTGCAGTTTGGATAGATTTTAAACGATTATCTTCAGTGTTGGTTAGAAAACCATTAGAATCATCTTCATTAGTACCTTCTACTAGAGTATTAACGTTTGACGTATCAGTTGTATGATACAAATATTTCTCCAATTGCACATTACCAATTACTAAATTATTTAAATCGGAACTTTGTTCATTTAAATCAGAGCTTTGCTTATGTAAATCACTACTAGTAGGAAAATTATACTCAGAATTAAAAAGCTGTGGCCCATCATAACTATCTATATCAGCATTGGTTCCTGTATTTGAAGAACTAGCTTCAAAGGTACGTGAATTGCCCAAATAAGTTGTTGCATAATCACGATTTAATTTATTTAATTGGTTGTATTCTGGTACATTGGTTGATTTCATATTAAATCCATTAAAACCTTGACCATCATACACATTGTTCTCATTTACTTGACCTATGTAGTTTGAATCAATAGTCTCTGTACCTATATTGTCGCCATCAACGAAGTCATACACCATACGATCAGATGACAAATCTGTATCTAAATAACTGTCAGTAGTTAGTGAAGTTTGAGTATTTGAAAATGTATTAAAATCAGTCCTGCTTAATTGATTGTTTTCAGGATTCAATTCGTCTATTCCTGTTTTAGTTTGATCATTTTCAATGTCATCTATGTTGTTATAGTTATATAGGATATTTCCAGGATAAATATTGTTATCATAAGGCACATTACCTGTAAACGTATTGCCTCTCAAAGGTTCACTATTTTCATACCCAGCATTTAAATTAGGTGTATATGAATCATAAGAAGGTACTTGCAGATTACCATTATCATACCCAATATTTTCGAAATAACCATCAACATTATTTCCATCATTTTGGATGTTATAATCACCATCTGAACTCCGTGCAGAATTAACGGAACTTTTCTCATAAAAAAAGTTATTATAAACATCACCATTTTTGTTTAAAAGGGGAAAGTTAACTCCGTAATTATTTATATCATTAAAATTATCAGACATATACCTATCATCCATGTTTACTTGACCATCGTTCAAAACCTCATCGACATCTGTATTCTGTAATTCATATCCCATATTATCATATTTCAAGAATCGGTAGGTTTCTGAATCCATACTTGAATACTCAGTCTGTGAAAAATTAGATGAAGTAAATTAAGCATCGATAGTCACAGAAATAGGCACAAAACTTACAACAGTTGGAGTTTGATCTACTGGTTGTGGTGATCCGTTAATATCTGTTGGAGAATTCCATCCTAAATCCCCACCACTCAATGCATCATTTGAATTCTCATTAGGCATAATTGATGGAATACCAGGATAGAAACTAAATTGATCTGTTGTACCAGTATTCTGTACATTTAAAGCTGAAACAGATTTTTGTGTTATTTGATTGTTTAAACCTTCACTCATTTCTGGTAGATGAGGATAACTGCTCTCTTGATCTGCTATATTTTGAAAAAATCCATTTTCATTTGGTGATTGGTAACTATTGACAGTTAACTTGTTTCCATAAGAATCAGTAAATTGTTCCATCGGCTTATCCGTCAAACCTCCATTAGGATAATTAGGAGAGATATTGGATGGAGAACCATTTGAACCAGGGGAAGATGTTGGTATGGTAGGACTTCCACCATTTTGATCTACATCATTTTGTGCATCATATCCGTAATAATACGATTCATAACTTTTCATATAACTATTATCAGTTAACAAGTTTCCATTGGAATCCAGCTTGCCCGTTAAGTCTCCATTAGGAGAATTTGGAGAAGTGTTAGACGGAGAACCATTTGAACCAAGGGACGATGTTGGTTTAGTTGGAGTTCCTCCATTTATATTACTTTTGGGAGAACCATTGTCAGAATTCGGATTTGGAGTTTGAGGGTTCTTAGGAACACCTCCGTTTATATTACTAGGCACTCCCATAGGATATGTCAAAGGCATAAACGGTTGAGAAGGCATACCATAAACATCCGACGCTGTACCAGAATCGCTATTTAAGTTTCCATTA